AGTGTTTAAAAGAGTCGAACCTTCCAAATGACATGACACGACTTTAGGAAGGTTCAAACAATACACACTTTCCTCATTTAACATGTAAAATTAACCCGAAATACTCTAATTTTTGAAATTCATATAATCAAAGGGTTGAACGCGCATCCCCTTCTGTTTCAACATCAGTTTAAAACAATTCGGACCGCCACCTTTGCTCATAGAAAGACAAAACAGCTGTATGGTGCTATGTTATTCTTTTTTGGCAATAATTTTTCCAATGCTTTCTCTTTCTGTTAGCCTTAGAAGGGAGTTGGGACATTTTAAAATGATTGCTACTAATGTTTAGAAAAGTTAATAATAACAAATAAAGCAAATATCGTGAAAAGTACATGGAGTCCAGTGAATGCTCTTTGCTTTTTAATAAAGAGCTTCTTGGTCGATTTCATTTTTGTGCTTTACGTCCTGTTAACATCTATGGTCAATTGAGGATGTGCCAGGTTTTGGTGATGGAGGAGAGCCGGAGTACACGGTGAACAACCATCGACCTGCGGCCAGTAGCGACTGCCCCATGTAGGCCTCAAACCGCGACCCAGTGAGAGGGGGGGGGGGGGGGGGGGGGGGGCTAGTGATCAGAGATAACTGGACAACTTTGCCACTCGGCCATCGCGGCCCCAATTGAACCCCTTATGATGGGTTTGTGTGTTTGTGTTTTACGTCCTATTAACAGCTATAGCTATTTTACGACATGCCAGGTTTTGGCGATGAAGGAAAGCCGGATATCCCGGGGAAAAACCATCGACCTACGGTCAGTACCTGGCGACTGCACCACGTAGGTCTCGAACCCGCAACCCAGTGGTGGAGGGCTAGTGGTAGCCGACTGAAAGACGCCTTTACCACTTGGCCACCGCGGCCCCTTTATAATGATGGGAAATGAATTTAAACGCTTTTTTATAGTAAACGGCAAAGCAACTTCAAGTCTGAACAAAATAACGATCAAATCAGAACTCTTTTTTTTCGTTAGAGATACAAACCCGAGCGCTGGTTCTTTCTACTTGTCAGCGCTAGAAAATATTTGTTTTGAATAAACTCTAGCTATTCGGGATACTAGTTTCCAATTTTACTAGTCCATGTGGAAATTCAACTTACCCAGTGCCATTCAACATGCTAAGTACTATCAACTTTTGACAAGTCAATTGAGCAGCTTTCAAAACCACTAACCTAGTTTGAAATTTCACTAGTGTCGGGCTAGCGGGCTATCCTTATTGTCTAGCCGTGTACATGAGTCTAATATTGCTTGCTACAATTGAACTGCAAACATTTTATTTCAAACGTTAGTCAATCAATCAATGCAGGAGTTGCTAGCGACGATATTGGTGGTTCTATTGTCAGTTGGCATAAGTGTCTCCGTATGAACCGTGTAAATGAAGTGCGCATATATGTTGGTTTAAACATAAGAGCATTTTGTTTTTATGGAACGAAACATTGAAGTTGAAGAGGACATTTTCCGTCATTTCTAGGATTCCTAACTTTGCTGCTGTTTTTCAAACATTTTTGGTCTTCCTTAAATATACCTGAAGTACAGGCGTTTATATATGGATATAAATCATAATAGTCCGGTAAATGAAAGTGTTCATTTTTTTAAATGCACGGTATTTTCACAAGACGTATCAAAATATCGAAAACGGGTCGCCATTTCTGACTTATGACTAAATTGGGTCGTATATGCGACTTTTTAGTACTCTTCTTTTCTGAAATTAATTACTGACGTGGTTTTGTGCACCTCCCCATCTGTTCAACTGTGTTTTAGACCAATTTGGATTTCAAACTTTTTGGCCCTTAGCATCATCAATGAGTCCTAGAGGGACGAAACAGCTGTATGATGCAATGAGTCCTAGAGGGACGAAACAGATGTATGATGCAATGAGTCCTAAGGGGACGAAACAGCTGTATGATGCAATGAGTCCTAGAGGGACGAAACAGATGTATGATGCAATGAGTCCTAAGGGGACGAAACAGCTGTATGATGCAATGAGTCCTAGAGGGACGAAACAGACGCAGAGTGATCCATTTTTGGCATACTGTATCTATAAATGAATTCTAAAGACGCAATCACCTGTGTATGGGTGCTTTACATTTATCTTCCTTAGCAGATCACATTTGTGCCTGTGCTACGTAATAGAAGACATATTTTAATGATTTGGAATTGTTATACTTTTTTGTAAATTTGTACAGTGCATTGAGGGTGCAGCCTTTCCAACCTCTACGATGATTCAAACTGAACAGGGTATTTGTTATACAGTTTGGTATAGACAATTTCACCAAGAACAAATGTTTGTATAATTATAATTTTATCAATATACTGTGATGGGAACCAGATTTGTGTAGGTTAAGTAAGCTTGGTTTATCATTGAAATTGAAGAGACAATCGCTGCTTTGTAAATCACTGCTAATTTGACGCTAATTAGTGTGTGCAGGCGGCGCCACCTAGGGTGGTGCGAGGCTTGCGCGTGCTTAAAAAAAAGAGTTTTGGAAATATAAAGCCGTGCGCGTTCACAATTCGGTAACTCTGCTTCGGACCTGCAATAAAAATGTAGAATAGTTAGGGCTCCCGGTTGATCCGGTTGATCTGGTTGTTCCGGTGATATTTCGCTAGGTTAAGTTATATGTTGGGGNACTCGCCAAACAATGTAGAGAAAATACACAATAAGATCGTAGAACTTAATAAATAGAAGAACGTCGGGCTAAACCCCACCTTGGGATCAACTACCGTTACAACACTTTGAAAACATTAATAGTAAGCTGATACAACTTGCACATTTTTAACGTCCAGTACTTGTTCTTATTTTCTTTGTTTGTTAAAATTGTCGTATAAAAAAATATTTGTTTGTAAATCAATTTAATTATCCGTTCTCTGAGTGTTAATTGTTACACCCTTTGTTATTCATGTAGTGTGCAAACACAAAGTTATAGAATTATTGATGTTGTTTTCTGTATTGACAGACGTACATGTAAATGTAATCAAATATCTGTTCCAATTACCAGAAAAGGTTAATACCATAGTGAGGGGGTCTTTTCACCTGGACGAATAAACATTACAGAAACAAGAAACGATTTGAATTGTTAACGTAATAGTTGAAACTTCATCCTACAAACAATCATTTATCTATTTGTGGTAAAAATTGAGATTTATTGTAAATCCAGTTCACATTGAAAGACTTGCATAGAGCATGTTTAGAATTCGTTTCATATTGACATGCGTGTTTGATGAACATTCAAAATATTACATCACGACAAGCATTCATCGGTTTTACACCAAAGGCCAACGTAGATCGTTTCATATGATTCATTTGGACACTAAATACATTATTATCGCATCATTATCCAATAAGAACCTCTACGCCATGTTGTCCTCGTATGAAATCATGCTATATGTTCAAGCATGCATCATAATGAAAGTTATCGTAAACACACAGGCTATGCCATAAAGACGCATTCGAGACAGTAGATATGAGAACCGGATGGCGGGTTGGGGATGAATATTTTAGCGTATGAATTCGTGTTTGTACAACCTATTGTGACGTCATATCATAATGAAATGACGTTACAGACTTCCAGACTGGACGTCACAATGGAGACAAAAGATATAGAGTTAAGATGGAAGACTTTTAGACTGCATTAGTGACATGGTAAAAGCGTGTTTCGCAAAACTTCCGAAAGTTCTTGACCACATGAAAGACAGTATCCTGAATTCGTTTCAGTCGTCTATGGTACTTAGGAAAATTGGAGCGGTTATTTCGTGTTCTAATCCTCCAAACGTTCGCTGAAAAAAATTGCATAAATTTACATAAATCGGAAACGTATACTGTACACTTCACATAAACACATCAACAATAGCCTTGATTTATCTGGCATTTGTTTAAAAATGTTATATAGATATTCGCGCCTTTCTCTGCGTTCTGTTCTTTAATACTGACCATCCGCCATTCAAAATGTTTACACTGGAACACACTTCCTGCCAGATGTGCGTCATAAGTTTACACTTTATAGTTGTCCTGGCAATTTAAAAGAGGTCATAGAGTCGGTACAATTGTCTATACTATGATATTGTGTGCTTAAAAGCTAATGAAATGACGTCGTATCTTATTACTTTTCTTTTATTATTTACTGGGCAGATTTCGATGTATATATACGATTCGTTTCCCCATCCTAGATGATCAAGGGTTTACGCTCACTTTCGCTCACTGCACTCCTAGAATATGTCGTGCCAAAATCGAAGGCTCTTGTACGCCACCTTGTGGATGAGACGAGAAGACTAGTTTGACCTTTAATGTACACCAAAGGAATTTCACGGTCGCATATTGGTAAAATTGTCTGACTTTGAAGTCGGGTGTCATTCTTCTATAATCTACAAAGTACAAGTATCAGTCTAGCGATAATCAGGTGGTTTTTTTTTTACCTTAGACCAATCAAATAGCTAACCGCTTGCCTTCAATTTTGCTATGACATATTCAAGGGGTGCATAGACCGTAAGTGAGCGTAACCCCTGGAGTATTGAGGATGGTCTTTCCCCAAATGCTGCTTTAACAATGAAAAAAAATACAAAATAAACAGCTTAGTATATATGAGTTCCTACTCCTTCCAAGGCCACACCAGGACTGACTCTATCTGGTCAGTTCACACGGTTTTCACATAAACATCAAAGGCAGTCCGAGGAATGATCAGCGTGATGAGATATTGTTACTGGTCCAGCCACATCCGGACACTGTTGTAACTCAATATGGCTGATGCGGGGTGCAGTTTTTCAAAACTTTTGGCACCCTAAACTTTAGACGGTCAAATATACACTGATTTCTGATGGTCGAACCCCCTCTTAACAATTTGCAATAAGAAGCTTTTGTATTTGAATGAAAATTATAATCAAATGAAATAATAGTTTCAGCTGTTGAAAACTATCCCAATTAATGTCCGATGTCAAAATCTCTTAATCTATAGACAGGTAAATCATTTTTTCATTGCAGCTTCAATATCAATACAGTCCACAACAAATGTTGGGCATTTGTCTGACGGAAGTGACGTAACCTTCACCGTATCTTCCTCAGATGGCACAGCAACGTCACTACGAGGCAAATTCAATGATGGAACCGTCATCACAGGGTCAATCAGTACATCAACAATAACAGTGAGGTCACAGGATATAGCCGACTTTGGCACGTACGAGTTCATCATAGAGATGTTTGCTTCAGATGGAAGTAGTGGTTCACTCCAGACGATCATCTACTACGAGGAAAGTATCACTGGATTACAGGTACGTTACGTCATAATCCTGTTCACTGCGTATCTTTGTCTCAATGTACATGTGCTTCTGTACATTAAATATACAACATTTGATAAAGCGCCATATTTTCTTCTTTTTCTTCTTTTAATGTGCAGGGCTCCTTCTGGGGCAATTTCAGCTAGAATAAACCACGTTCAAGCAATTTACAGTACTTAGATATTAATCATTTATGCAAATATAATCAATTAACATATACATTAAATAATATTTTAATCAACTTTATTTTGAGGAATTTGCTGGAGCTGCCTTATCCGGCACTAACTATTAGACCTATGCCACCTGGCTAAATTGTGAGAATAACAACACCATTTCAGATGTAAATGTGCATATGGAAAAGCGAATTCCTCCGCGCAAAAGTTCTTGTTTACGTTTGTCACAGGCGAACGTTGACGATTGAGCTTAGAAGTCATTTGGAAAACATGGTGTTTAGTTGAGTTTTTTGAATAGAGAAATATATAAGGTAGTAGTATATAGATGATAAATAGTTTATCATACAGTATTTTCAGTGTTTGTCGTGAGAACAATTTTCTCACTCATCGCGAGCACGTGGATGAAATCGAGAGGCCACAGCAGATAATCTATAAATATCTTCATTTCTTAATACGGACTTTCAAAACATATTTGATTGAAACAGGATTTGGAAACAAGTTTTACAACTTATATTTATTCATCTCCAGTTGAAGAAATACGTATGAAATTTGTATTCTGTAACCCATTGATAGGAAATGAAAATGATATCTCTCACGAAATTATTAGCCGTTTTCTTCAAATCAGTTCAGTTTAAGAATTAGTCTAGGAAAATGTCAAGATATCACAAGAGAGATCATTTCTGCTCTGTATTTGAATCTCATTTAACATGTGATTGTCAACTTTCTTGAATCGGTACGCCAGAACTGTTACACGCGCGCTGGTCTGACCACAGGGACCTAAGAATTTGTTATATCTATATGTGGACCTTAACTAATATAAGGTGTTCAGAGTATAGGGGATAAGATCGACTTTCAATAAAAAAAGGACACTCCCAATGATATATTCGATCTATTGGGGGTGTCCTTTTTACCGAAAGTCGATCTAAACCCCTAAAATTATTTTAGGTCCAAATACAGATGTAATAAATTCTCAGGTTCCTGTGGTCTGACACTGAACCTGTTATACCACTGAAGTTGAATGAAACTGAGTCACGTGCTGTCCCCCGTAATACACGTGATACACCAGTAGTTTTCCTACTCAGAAAGTTTATACTAAATTTCGACTCGTACACACACCCCGTTATCCGGGGGATTGTGTAGAGGTACATTTTAGAGTGGTATAACGCAATACCAACCACTATCAAACTATTCAAATGTGGTATGACTGATTCTTATGAATGTCCTGTTTGTTTGTCATTTGCGTTAAAAGAAATTTCTAGTAAATATCTTAGAGAATGTATCTGCGCATGTCGATCCGTAAAATGTCAATTTCTTAGAAATTGATCGACTTACAATGTTTGGGGTTTGTGAGAAATGTAAGAATGTTAAAGGTCAGTTTGTTAATTTTTTGTTAAGCGTTTTTATATCTATAATAGAAGAAACGTGATGATGTTAAATGAAGGAAATGATCCGATCTTACTTTATTTTTATTCGCTGTCAGAAAATTGTTAAAATATTATTAATATATATGTAATCGTAGTCATAAGAAAATGCATATTTTCAAACAGTACTTTGTAAATCTTTTTATTTTTTATTTTTCACACAAGTGTATTTTACATATACAAAAATAGCACATTCTCTCACACTCACATCTACACGTTTAAAATAACACTGTCATCATCCTTCACCTGATTTCATCATCATCATCATCATCATCATCATCATCATCATCATCATCATCATCCATAATATCTGAATGTCATCATACACCCTTCTCTTACATCATCGTCATCACATCACTGTCATCATTATCGATAGCGACATATTGTCGTTGTCATTATCCTCATTAAACACTATCATCAACTTCTGATCATCATCATCATCATACGTCATCATCTTCCATCCTCATCAACAATTTATCATCCTGCTCCACACTGTATGATTATCGTTATGATCATATACCATCATCTCAAGTCCTCATCAATAACATATTGNGGGGGGGGAGAAGGGGGGAGAGAAGGGGGGGGGGTGATTTGGTTTATAGTTTTTGATTTATTGTCACTGAATACAAAAATAATTAAAAATCCACCACTTTTTTACAGGTAAACTTTTCACATGCCGTGATAGAAGTAGGAGACACAGTGAATTTCACCATAACAATGGACAGTGGAACAAACGTCATCATGGAGTGGTACATTGACGATAACAAAATCTACGTCGAGGAATACCAAGGACTGGTGAGAGAAACTGTCTTCAACTTCACCTTCCTGTCGCCATTAACAGGCATCAAGGTCATAGCATCTAATAATATCGGCACTACTCAGAAAACGGTAAATATCACCGCGCAGTATCGAGTGACCGGCTTTTCTTTGGTTGAATTCAGTTCACCTCTGCGACCCAGTCCATTACAAGATGTTAAATTCGAAATCGCTCTTAACTCATCCGTCGCCTTGCCGATGGGAAATGTGTGGGTCGAATCCACATTTGGTGACAACACAACCCTGAATCAGAGCATAGCAGGTACCGTGAACTCTATCAAGACAAATGGATTGACTATTTCACATGGATACAAGACACAGGGTAATTATACAGCAAGTTTTAGGATTTTCGCCGAACTGAATTCGATCACATTGTTGACCTTCGTGTATATCTGGGACAGCGTAGAAGCCGTTGTAAGTGCAGACCCTGCTATAGCAAAGGTCAATGAAAATATAACGTTCTCTTTTGCAAAGCATGAAGGATTCATTTTCAGATATTTAGTTCAATACGGAGACGGTGATACGAAAGTGAATGATCCTAATATGCTTTATTCGGAACCGTTGGACACCGCTCCTTGGACGCATTCCTATGAGGAACCTGGAACTTATGTAGTAAAATTGACAGCTTGGAATCCATTTCATTACAGCTTTTCTAGATTAGCCATAACAGTTCAAATACCCATCAATGCGGAGAGTATTACACTATCGCCGGAAAAGGAGGAGATCCCGCTGCCGAACGGTTTGCAGACTCTTGTCCTGTCGCTTGATTCCGATATTAGGTCACCAACAGACGTATATTGTGTGTTTGACCTAGGAGAAGCAGGGCTTGAAATCTTACCGACAACGGTTAGCACAATCAGCAACATCAAAGCTGTTGATACGACGATACAAACGGAAACCACGGAGGCGACAAGCAGAGGAACAACCAAAGGAAGTACAAAAGAAAAGGATAAGAAAACCGGAAGTAAAGCAAATGAAGAACAGACAACTGAACTACCAATAACTGAACCACCAACGACCGAACTAACGACAACTGAACTAACGACAACTGAACTGACGACAACTGAACTAACGACAACCGAAGATCCGTTTCCCGCTGTTAGGGCTAATTTAGTATATGGATCGCCTATTATCAAAAATGTCGAGTATGTTACACCGGGCATGAAGCTAGTTAACTTCACGTGTTACAACTTGGTTAGTAAAGTAACTCGAATATCCTACATATCAGTACGCAATTTTACCCTCTCTGACTTCAAGTTAACATTCATAGATATGGTTATGATGAACATGACAATAGACCAAAGCGACGACGATATAGGGACTGTCTCCTCAGATGATGTTGTAGTGGATTTCATGATTATGCTGTTCGAATGTTCCAGATTTCCTCCCAACATCACGGTCTCATGGGATTTCGGTGATGGCAGGATTTGGAAAAAGTTCAAACCTGTCAAAGTTATACAATCTCATAAATATACAGAAAGGCAAGCATACAACGTTATATTACAACTTAGATCACCAGTTGAAAGTTACACCATGGAGCCACGAAAGATTACACTCGGAGTAACCAGGTTTTCCGTGAACAAATACAACGGCGTCTTGGGTGAGTCCGATGATTTTAATTTTACCATTACCGGTCCGTCCTATCAATGTGATTACTACTTAGAATTTGACATGGAAAAACAAAGTAAGTGGATGACATCGATTGTCCTTAGCAATTATACCATTCAATTCAAGTATAGCATCTTTGGAAAATATGTACCCTTTCTTATTGTAAGGAGTGATGTATTTTACGAGAGAGTGTATCTCCCCTTGCCGATCAGTACGGACTATTCGCTCGAAGGAGCAAGCATCTCCGTTTCGAACACGACAATACCTATGCCACCTGGGGCAATCACTGTATGGTTCAGTGTTACAAAACGACCACTACCGATGATCACGTGCGTTATACAAATGGATGACTTCATTGATATTGACGAAAAACGCATCACCCAGAATGTCACAACAGATAGCCCAATCAAATTTGATTACAATTACCTGACCTTCGGAACTCATAATGTCAACGTGAGTTGTTTCAATCTTGTTAAGTCCCACGAGATTGTAACCGAAGTATTAGTTATAAATGAGTGTTTCACGTACGGAGGAATCTTTGCCTGGCAATTTTCAAGACCATATCATCCAATGATTATTTCAACTGCAGTTCAAACGGATTTGTCGAATCGAATGCCGGTCCGTTGCTATAATAGCAATCCAAGGTTTCATTGGAAAATTTACAGGTTTACAGACGGTGCTGACTCAAATACCACACTTGTAAATGAATCCTATGAAGATAACCTCGGGACTTACAGGTTTTACGAAGCATCTATGACACCAGGGTTACACAAGGTTTCCCTGAATGTGACCCTTGATCAAACTTGGGCAATCGAGAACTCGTATGTGCAACTTGTCAGACCCATTCCATTCGCGCGGATAGAAGGCGGAGCGGAACGTACCGTTAATCCGGGAAATGTCAGTATAGACGCATCTGAGTCCTATAGTTCAGAACGAGGTGTCGGTCACACTGAAGGACTCAATTTCACGTTCTTCTGTTTCCGGTGAGTGCCATATTGCATTATTTATTATAATAACGATTTGCGTTTTTATGCCCTATTCTGATTTGCAAAGAATATATCACGTGATATGAAATAATCGTCATGTATTCCACCTATCAGAATCTCTCTCTCTCTCTCTCTCTCTCTCTCTCTCTCTCTCTCTCTCTCTCTCTCTCTCTCTCTCTCTCTCTCTCTCTCTCTCTCTCTCNAAATATGCAAGACCACACACTTGTGTTTTTACCCTACCCCAAACTCTCTCTCTCTCTCTCTCTCTCTCTCTCTCTCTCTCTCTCTCTCTCCTGCACAATCGGAGGTGGTTACGTCATTGTCTGTTGTTTAGGGGAATTTGGAGAAAAACCAAGATTAGGCCTGCTGTATCATACTGACGCATGTGTATCGTAAAAGGCCACTAATGTGGGTTCCCCTGCATGATCGGTTTTTTTCTTCCTTGTCTTCTACGACAAGGACATAGAGGATATCTAAATTGATCTGCTACCCCCATTGCAATACTTGGGATCTTTTTCGTTACCTATCTCTTCTGTCTTCTTTCTTTTCTTTCTACTTTTTCTTCCTGGAGGTGTCACCTTCGGCATGGTCCTTATGTGGCCCAGACTATTCCGTCTTTACGTATTACAGAGTTATCTTCTCTTGGGATCAGTTATTGATTGTTACGTCATTGGTTTGTACGAGAAAATTACGTCGTTTTCTCAAAAATTGATGACGTTACTCTCACAAACAAGTGACGTAACAATCAATACCTGCTCCCAAGAGAAAATAACTTTGCAATACGCAAAGACAGAATTGCAAGGAAGTTAAACCCTAAGCAAACAGACAACTCTAAGTTAGTAATAAAATCAGATTGTCAGCTTATAGTCGTGAAATTCCCATCGCATTATGCCATTCTCACCTTCTGATTTTTTTAACAAGCTTATGAACCTCAATGTATCACATGGTCATTTTAATGTATAAGACATAGAATTCCGTACAGTTGGAAAAGTTGGCGAAGCTTTAATTTCGCGATTTGGTTGGTCCACATCTAGATCGCCAAAATTAAATAGCCAATGTTTCAAACAATCCAATAGAATGGCGTCAATATTTCTCATTCAGCTTTGACACGTTGTTCGTATACAAGTGTTCTAACGAATCAGAAAGCACTCATTTATTGCGCGGACGTATATATTCACTCGTTGCGCTCCGCGCACTCACGAATATATTCGTCCGCGAAATAAACTCGTGCTTTCTGATTCGTTAGAAAAACACAAGTGTGTGGTCTTGCATATTTATCATATGCCTGAAATCTGTTTGATTTTTTTTTATACCTACACACATAAAAGAGAAATGCATCGCACTAACTTTATCATTAAATTTTTGTACTCTTTTTCTATGTAATATACCGAACTTGTATACATGTTATAGGTATGCTGTGTCTTCGTTTGTCAAACTTCGGAATGAATTTAACAACATTGGTGGTATCCAAACGTTCGAAGATGATTCGGGCAGAAATGGTAGCATAGGTACCGCCGACATCAGCTGCAATGAAGCGTTTTCTGTTGTGGGCAACGGCACAGCCATTTTGAAAACGAGTGACTTCTCTAAATACAAGGGTTATCTGGTCGTCTTAAGGGTTGACGAGCCACTGACTTTACCAGCCATTTTTCTACAAATGATCTCCGTGGAAGAAGGACTACGACCGATCATCAAAATTAAGTGAGTTATTTTACGATTTAAATGTATATATATATGAACGTAAGACACACACCACGCTTTGATTTCACTTATGATACAATTCATCTCCAGCACACACGCAGGAATACACACATAGGGAGATATTAGGCAGGTGGCATAGGACTAGTAGTTAGCACTTGATAAGGCAGCTCCTGTGAATTCTTCAAAAACTGTATTGGTTAATGTACATGCTTATTGTATTAATTGTATATCTATGTACTGTAAAGGGCTTTAGAGTGACTTATTTTAGCTAGATAGGGCGCTATATCAAATGGTGTATACCAAATAGTATTTGGTAACGGATACAGTATGCGCCATTATACTGCACCATAAAGCCGTTTCGTCCTCCTAGGACACATCAGTGACACTCGGGGTAAAAAGATGGAAATCCAATTTAGTCTAAACTACTGTTTAAAAAGAATGGAAAAAGCATCAATACGTCAAATATATGAATTGCGAAAACTGCATTTAAAATAAATATCGCTTATCAAGTAAGATGCTTGTACGTAACCGGTTCCATTGTTATTGATATTTTTTACGTATCTTTTTTATCAGTGACGTCACTTTTATCGTTGCTTTTTGTAAATAAAGTTATCATTTATAAAGCAGACGTTTATCACATAACTATATTAAAATAAACCTCATTGGATATATTTTACTGTATCACAAAACTTAAATGTTAACAAAAGATGATTGACCCTATATTTTTAATTGGACAGGACACTGAAAGTTTCCGAATATGTTTCCGGAATTTTGTTGCGGTTATTATATTCCCTTTCTTGTGTTGACATTTCCTTTTGATTGTTGTCTCGTATATTTCCATATTCCAGATGTGAAATTAATTGTCGGGAAAAAGTCGCCGTACAGAGTAACCTTAAGGCAGTAGTGATATGTGAAAACTGTAATAAAATTGACCACCTGATGTATGAATGGAGCCTGAAGGAGGTTTCGAATGACGTCATAGAAGATGTGAAGCTCACCAGCGACAAGACAGACACAGGCAAGTATTACTGGATTGGAACTTTTAAGAAACATGCTATAGGTACTTGCGTAGAAAAAAATAACAGCAAGTATAAAAGCATTGAAACTTTTAAGAAACATGTTATAGGATCCTGCGTAGAAAAAAACCCGACTTGGTTTTTAATTTAAGGATGGCTTGACATTAAGGGTGTTGGCCATTTTGATTTACTTGATGCCATATTAATTTCTAATAAGTGTTTCTGTCAGATGATTTTGTCCTTGTGCCTTGATAAAGAGTATAATGGAGTACTGAATGTGTGTCGGTGTTTCGACTTCCGAAACAAAAAGTTCTGACGCCATAATTGGTTTCCGTGCGATTATTCTTAAAGGCATCGTATATTTATGAAACCTTTCAACAAATACGTAAAGCATAAATTTTCAACGCGAGTTTGATTTGAAGTCGAATATAAAATTAAATATGACTTCCAGCCGCCATCTTGGTTTCATTACAAATATGTTTTCAGCCGATTTTGTTTGAGGCGTGAACCAAAGACACACACTTTGTCGCATTTTGAATAAACCTTCCTAGTATACTTATTACCGAATACCATGTCTCTAGTTCTACTGTTTATTATGCAAATTTAATGAAGTTGCTGCAATTTGACTGGCAGATGAAGCATGCATTTATATACGTAGTACCCACTTTCTCTATGCCCGTCAACATTCGAGAGTGTTGCGATCAAGAGCAAATGTTGCAGTTGCATTTCATTCCTTCACCATGCGACCTTGCAGACAGACATCCTCCCTCCGAAGCTGATACAGGTGACACATTCACTTTTGCAGAATGCTTGTAGTATCAAACTGGGATGTCAACTTTGTTTTTCTCCAGGTACAAACCAAATAACTTTCGTGTTGGCTAAAAATGTACTAAACGAAGCAAGTGTCTACACTTTGGAAGTGACAGTTATTTCTCCTGAATATCCAACCTCTGCACGTGTTGGCCTGGATTTCGTCACCAATATGAAACCATACGGTGGCACATGTAGTGTGGACCCAACACAAGGTATGTTATAACGGTGAACTGCATTAAATAAATCCCTACGTTAACTAAGACGAAAGCACCGTGTCAGTCTTCCTTGATATCCAGGTGGTACGCTCACTTTCGCTCTATGCACCCTGGAATATGTTATAGCAAAATTGAAGGCACGCAGCTAACTATTTTATTGGTGTTAGGTTAAAAAAAACACCTGAACAATCACTAGGCTGATACTTTTGAAGATTACAGAGGAGCGACGCCCGACTTCAAAGCCAGTAAATGTTACCGTTACGCGTAGCGAAATTCTTTTGATTTACATTAAAGGATCGAATTAGTGTCTTCTCGTGTCATCAACAAGGTGCTGTACACTGAGCCTTCGATTTCGCTATGAAATTCCAGGGCTGCAGAGAGAGAACATGAACCTGGATATCGAGGATGCTTTTGAGTCGTTTTCTGGTTTCTTCAGACTATATAAGAACGTTCTATATATGAACGATGTTTCCCAAAAACTGTTATAGGTTTGTCCTTAATAACTCATGATTTGTATTTAACTTAACAGTTCAAAACCATATCTTACCTTTTTTATTTAGTGTTTTGTTTATTTGGAGACACAATATGGATAGCTCGTGCTGGTCGCCAATATTTTTTTATCTTTTTTCTTAATATGATTTGTTCCGCAAGGTTTAAATAATAAAATCGTTCTCATGCTCAATCTCATCATCATCATCATCTCTCATCATCATCATCATCATCATCATCATCATCATCATCATCATCATCATCATCATTATCATCATCATCATCTGACGTTATCCTTGTCATCATCATCATCATCATCCTTAATCATCATCATCATCATCATGACATCATCATCATTATCATCATCAACATTCAAGCAGATGCATATCAGGATTATTTCTTGATTGACAGGGGTTGGTATGGTGTCTACGTTTGCAGTAAAATGTTCTGGTTGGAAGGATGAGAGCTACAGATTATCCAGAAACGAAACACTAGATTTGGAGGTACCTCTTTTGTACGAATACATACAGGAGATCAATCGAACTGTCAATGGTAGCGTGAAAACCATCCATTCACCTCTTTTTATGGGAAGTAAGTAGACACTTTAAAAGATCATATTTATCAATTATGGACTTTTGTTGAGGTGAATATGTGATTATATGGACCTGAGAAATCACTTTTTATGTCCATATAACCACATAGTCACCGAAATAAAAATCCTAAATTGCTATATTAGGTGTTATACGATGTTTATGGGAATTGTCAGGAAAATGCAATGAATTTGGCAGAGAGCATTGTGACGTTATAATTGAAATAACGTCATAACGTGATTATTGATCTGATGTTATTGGTTTTTTTTATATTTTTTATTGTAGATGAGGATTCGGCTACTCAATTGCATTTACAGCAAGGAGAAAGTGAATTTGATTATATAGTTACTATCCTGGTTCGGATCCGTGACTCCTATGGAGACTTCGAGGAAAATAGGGACGCAGTTGCTACGGTAGGTGTTTCTTTTTACAGCAGCACAATCGCCGTTTTACTCCAGACTTGGGTGATGCTCGATTCGACTACCGGCAAGTAAACCGGCGGTACCGGCGAGAAGCGGACATGTCACTCGGTTAGGTCAAATATTGCGGCGGCGGGCCATCGCCCGTCTTGCTCATACACCTTTCTATAAAAAAAAAATTTTGGTTGTTTTTTTTTGAAAATTTAAAAACTACTATTACTGAAATTTCAGACATAAGGAACCATTATTTCTTTCTTTGGTTTTAAAGTTCATCAAAGGTTTGGTAAATAAAGTACTTAAACATAAAGTAAGGTTCACATCTATGTGACAATGACTACCCAACTCCCCTCTAAATCTAATAAGGTATCATTGAGCGTGTCCGTCTTGAACGTTCGCTGAAAATGAAACATTTCAGCTTAAAAAAATCTGGGGAGAACCCTGTGGACCCAGATATTTCGGAAATATAAGTGTCGTCTTCTTCAACGACGACATCCGCCAACACAGAGTATAAAGTTAGATAAGTGTCTTGAATTTTCCAGGTAAAACGTAACGAATCATTAGTTCCGAATGGAGACAATGACGATGAAACTGTCACCGCAATATTCGAGGCTTATGAGGAACAGTTCTTGCCTTTAAAAGCAGGGAGCAACACAGTAGCAATGGTACAGCTCATAGGATCAGCAGGAGCCTTGCTTGCAAACATAACTGTAAGTTAATATATACCAGGGTTTCACTTTAGCTGTTTCTTCTTACATTATCGAAAGTTAGTGTTCGACGAAGTTTTTTGTCAGATGAAAGTAAGCTTGTATCGCTGAAGCATTACATTAGCTGTGTTCGCTATTGTTAACGTACAAGCGAACGTTGGTCATTCTCAAGAGTATAAATGGTATTTGGTGAACGCTAATGATTCACACAAGTCATGCTTACTAGTATAAAAATAAGTTCGTGTTCGCCAGAATCCACGCTGGGAAGTACAAGCTTGTAGTGACTTTATATCAAAGAATCGCATGCGCCTTGATTGCGAGCTGAACTTGATTTGCTCTACAGGTCGATATGGGCCATGCTCTCTGGTTAACATTAGCATTCGCCAAGAATCCCTATAAATAATGCTCGTTAGTATAAATCAGCTGATGGACGTCCATGATTATTATAAAAAATAAATATATATATATATAAAATATATAAAACAATAAATTGAAGGATTTTGATGTGTATAGAGAGGCAGAAAAGCCTGCGTCCACTAATATCTTATCAAGTCATATTGAATTATTCATATGAGGTATGCTTGCGTTTGTGTAAACCTTGATATGTGTTTGGTTTATAGAAACTCTGATCGCTAGTATACTGGTGGATCGGCGTATGCAAGGATTTAAAATAGTGTATTTGACAAAGCATAATGAATTAAATTTTTCAGTGCAAAATCAAATATATACATAATTGCACGCTTAGACAAGTTATCTTTATACACAAATACATAATTTAGAAAAGAAAATGCATTTAGACATTTTAAATAGTATACCATTTTCCTGTTTTGCAGGGATACGCTAGCGAGAATAGCACAACGAAATTGAGAATCATGGATGTAAGTATTGTGATTCTGCCTGTGTATCAAAATTCGAGAGTATCTGATATAGAGAGTACACCAAGACAAAATCAATGACAGACGGTATTTATTAAATGTTTTTCATGGACTACATTTCTCTTTCTTATTTTCCGATGGAATAGAAACTACTTTGTGTCTTGTGTTGTCCTATGCAACGTAACAAAATTAACAAAATTGTTTAAAAGAATACAACAGAATCGAGGGGAAATTACTTAAGTATTTTGCCCAAATTCTTGACATAATCTGATTGGTGCTTTCGACGTCCAGGTTATCATTCACTATTGGTATTAATATGTTTATGAATATCATATACATATTCATAGCCTAGAATGGGATTTTCCCTTCAGCATTCAACAACTTCTCGTTAATCAAGTGTTGCATATACAATTGTATCTTGAATATCAGTGAAACATAATCAAATGAAATACACTGTAATTGTATGGTACCAATATTGAAATCTACGTGCATACGCTTTACTGGTCATATGTCTGATAAAAGTAACAGAGTACATACCGTACTAATCATCGAAACGTCACATAGAAACACATATTTGTTGTGTAACAAGAAGCTTTTCATAATCCATACTTACCAACCTGAAGAAAATGTTTAGAAATATTGAAATCTGCGTATTTATATTCCAGAAAAATGCTGAACTGATGAAGAAATTGCGAGGATCGGTGTCTCTAGGCTCGAAGGAGGCATTGAATTCAGCCGATACCAATAACGTACTGGAAAATGTGAAAGCGTGCATAACCAATTTGGCTATTGTCAGCGATGCTATTTTGGTAAGACACACATATGAAAATATAGTTTTAAATTGCAAAAGCTTTCTATTCGCAAACAATAGTTATGTGAGAATAGGATACAATATAATAAAATTAAGATTTACATAGCGATGTGCTTTATTAAGTGCCTTGTGGTACGTCCTTTTTCAAATGCCATACTGAAAATCATTCCTTTGTTTAAGTTTTTCGTCTCTTTTTGTAGAATTTGATTTTAAAAAATCGTTTGTTTACAATTGTGTGTTTTCTGGTTTATTTGTGTACTTTTACAGTGGTGTTTTATGTAACAACAATTTTTCTGATCTTTTATAATTGAAAGTATGAATGATAAATAATCTCGAGGAAACAAAAAACTTGTTTACCACATAGGCAATTATGAATATTTAATACGTTTCACTTCGACTTCAGTTTATGTCTCCAATCAGATTCTTCCCTGTTACATATAAGGACATAAATACATAGCATCTGTATCATTTTATGTCAAACGGATGCTGTTCTTATGTTTCATAAATCTTATCATAAAACATTTTATTTTTCGAAGATATTGAAACAATTCTCAATGTAGTTTTTCGAAACCTTTTGGTTCTTGGAACAACCTTTCTTTTTTTCTGGTTTTATTCTTTTTAAACATTGTTGAATCTCGACAAAATTACGTATCATATCAAGAAAGCTTTTGCAGTTAAGAAAAAAAACTATTTCTTGTGCCTTGAATAAGATATGAAAATTATGATAAAATATGTTACGCATGTATAAGTTTGTAATTACTCTTCTGACAGGACGACGCCGTTGATACAGCTAGAGTACTTACTGGAGACCTTGAAAAACTGACCTTAAAGAGGCCATTTCCAGTGGAAGACCTTGAGAATATCCTGAACGGGATCTTAGGTAATCATATGATTCCTACTAGGGTTTGAAATTGAAATACTTATGAAATATGAGTGATATAAAATATTTCAAACTAGTTTACATTTGTTTCGTATATTAAAGGAATTTCGGTAAGCTAGATTTAAAAATTCAGAATTATATTTTCATCTCATCTGAAATATACACGTGCGTTCATTAACAATCTCATTTCATTGCCAGGAATTGATGTATACATGATGAAAGTATAACCAATCTATAAAAAAACAGTCACAATGTTGAAATCTTCAACGTGATATACTATGGGCTGGTAATGTCGTTCTAAAATGACGATTAAATATTTGATACCTAAAATACTGATATTGCTTGTAAAGCAAATAAAAAAAATAAAAACAACTAATATATATGATTAAATATAAAATAGGGAGCTTTACGCGCTTCCATAGGGGCCAACAAGAGTGATTGACATGATTAATGTGGAAAATGTATTAATTTTTGCTATTTTTGCGGCTTCCCTTTTAACCGCTTTACATCTGTTCTTTTGCAAAATGCAGCTTAATGCCTTATGCAGTATTAGCATATTGCAATAGATGCACGAAAAAAGGAGTCCTTTGAAATTCGCAATGTGAACAAATCTGAACCTGTTATTTAACCTCTTCCTAATTAGGGACAATGGACATAATTGACACATCTATTACCGGAATCGTTCCTGAAGTGCTCATAGATCCTGACGAGGAGATATTGTTAGAGGACATACGATTGGAGTATAACGCAAACAACCCGATAATCAACTATACTTTGACGGAAGAGGAGGAAAAGGAGAGAGACGCAATCATACAAGAAATTTACGATAACCGAGTGAAACAGCAAAGCATTGTCAGAGAGCGGTCAAAACAGGTAACCTTCGAAGATCTAGCGTCGGAAGAGATGTGATATATATTTTCTTCCACAATAGACAGGGATATCCACACTTCCGGTCAGGGAAAGATTTTTTTATCTTAGAGTCCTGACAATGCATTGCCATCACGCAAACAATTATGAGATCATGAAAGAAAACTCATTTGATTTGCTGGAAAAGACATGTAATCAACCCTTATGTTTCATGCATTCACCAACATGTTAAATGAGTTAAAAGAACCAATATACAAGAATTCTTAAATGTTTGGCCCTCGGCAAAGTCTCAGGAGGCGAAACATTTAAGAAATTTAAATTTTGGTTGAATTTTTCTGTTTTACCCAAAATATGGAGAAACATTCAATCAATCAATAATCAAATGACAAATTAATAAAATATAAGCTCCTTGTCAATGTTTAAATATCTCACCTGTCGAATTCATTCATAATTTTTCCTGTGTGTTTCTGCATATGTTGGTCTCACGATGAAAGTGACTTGTATGTTGATATTGTTACTATTTTGCCGTTGTCATTTTTGAATTTATTTTGACTGTGAAAACGAATTTGAATTAAATGAGATTCAAAATAATATTTTTTCTCCGTTTTTCAGGCAAATGGCACCGTTCCAAAAATGATGAATGCTTTAGTGAACTCTCAGGATATCATTGGCCGAACGCTGTTGACAGGGGAACCTGAACAGATTATCGAGAGAGAGAACGTTATTATTTCGGTAGAAAAGATGACTGGGGATACACTTAACAATGCCACAGGGTTCAACAAAACCGGAATCCGAATGACGCTTAATCGTAATGATACAGAGGATGCTGGTGAAACAGAAGAGTTACAGATGCAGGTACACATACAAAGAAAATCATCAATTTTAGAAAATGTTTCAAAAGTCGATTTTAAAAAGTGCGAAAGGTATTAAAAACAAGCCATTCGGATTGATATGTCTCGACTGTGCCCCGCTTTTACCATCAACGCACATATCAGAGAAACTAATTTAAACGCAAAACTTAATGTTGATGGAGATGCTGACAAAGTCAATGCACAATGCAAGGTGGGCCACATTCAGCATTTGATGCATGGGTTACAATGTTAAGATGCATCTATGGTCCAAGTTTGGTCGGTCTAGCACTTATGCTATTAGTGAAACTAACTTAAACGCAAAAACTTAATGTAAAGCAACACCTTAGTCTCGCCACCGCTACTTCGTCGGGGCGAGACAATAAAAGTTCCTTTATTCCAATCGTTCTGAATAAAATAGCTCCTTACAAATGTATTTTATCACCAGGGGGGTATAAACCTGCCGAATCTTATAATGTAGTAATACAACCAGTTTAGAGGTCATGTAATACAAGTTAAGTAATTCACACTGTTATAATAGAAAGTAAGGTATTGACTAAGAACTCAAATCTGGCTGAGAATCATTGATTGTTTTCCACAGATGAAATCTCAGATTTGAAATACGATTGGATTCCATTATATCATTATCTTTATTTTTATACAAGTTCGTAATCTAACAGTATATATAATTGCGCCTGAAGAAGCCAAAGAAGGCAGAAAAGGCCTAGTGGTCATCTTGTGTACTTTTTTTTTATTTTCTTCGCAAGAATGGGTTTCTTTATTATCTACTCTGTACAAATTATCCCTTTGTTCTCTGCATTATATTTTTTATTATTTTTTAGACGGCTCTCTTCAACAAGATACCACATTATCACGGAGTTGGAGCGAGCAAACTTACGTCAAAGGGCATCATGGTAGCCATTAAACAGAGTGATGGCACGCGCAAAAATATCAGCATGGATATGCAAATTTCAAATGAAGGGGTAGCTTTCTCAAAAAGGTACCAGCCTCTCTATCTCCCAGACGATCCGGACCAAATGCTGTATTTCGTTTTTAATATTTTAAGCGAAGATGATGCCGTGCTGTTATATATACAACCTGACAATTTCAACCCGTTTGATTACTCCTCATATGGACTGTATGAAGTATATGCTCGGTACAATCAGTACCCGTCGACCTCTACTTTTGACTGGTCCTACAGTATGAACATCAGGGATTGGATAGATGATCAAGACGGCTTCAAGATATTTATTCCAGAGAAATCACTGCAAGCGGGGAAGGTTTATGTAGCCTTGAAACCAATACCTGGTAAGGTTTATGTAGCCTTAAAACCAATACCGGGTAAGGTTTATGTAGCCTTAAAACCAATACCGTGTAAGGTTTATGTAGCCTTAAAACCAATATCGGGTAAGGTTTATGTAGCCTTAAAACCAATACCGGGTAAGGTCTATGCAGCCTGAAAACCAATACCGGGTAAGGTTTATGCAGCCTTAAAACCAATAACGGGTAAGGTTTATGTAGCCTTAAAACCAATACCGGGTAAGTTTAATGAAGCCTTAAAACCAATACCGGGTAAGGTTTATGTAGCCTTTAAGCCGATACCGGGTAAGGTTAATGTAGCCTTAAAACCGATACCGGGTAAGGTTAATGTAGCCTTAAAACCGATACCGGGTAAGGTTATTGTATCCGTAAAACCAATAGCGGGTAAGGTTTATGTAGCCTTAAAACCAATAACGGGTAAGGTTTATGTAGCCTTAAAACCAATACCGGGTAAGTTTAATGAAGCCTTAAAACCAATACCGGGTAAGGTTTATGTAGCCTTTAAGCCGATACCGGGTAAGGTTAATGTAGCCTTAAAACCGATACCGGGTAAGGTTAATGTAGCCTTAAAACCGATACCGGGTAAGGTTATTGTATCCGTAAAACCAATAGCGGGTAAGGTTTATGTAGCCTTAAAACCAATACCGGGTAAGGTTTATGTAGCCTTAAAACCAATACCGGGTAAGGTTTATGTAGCCTTAAAACCAATACCGGGTAAGGTTTATGTAGCCTTAAAACCAATACCGGGTAAGGTTTATGTAGCCTTAAAACCAATACCGGGTAAGGTTTATGTAGCCTTAAAACCAATACCGGGTAAGGTTTATGTAGCCTTAAAACCAATACCGGGTAAGGTTTATGTAGCCTTAAAACCAATACCGTGTAAGGTTTATGTAGCCTTAAAACCAATATCGGGTAAGGTTTATGTAGCCTTAAAACCAATACCGGATAAGGTCTATGCAGCCTTAAAACCAATACCGGGTAAGGTTTATGCAGCCTTAAAACCAAAAACGGGTAAGGTTTATGTAGCCTTAAAACCAATACCGGGTAAGTTTAATGAAGGCTTAAAACCAATACCGGGTAAGGTTTATGTAGCCTTTAAACCGATACCGGGTAAGGTTAATGTAGCCTTAAAACCGATACCGGGTCAGGTTATTGTAGCCGTAAAACCAATACCGGGAAGGTTTATGTAGCCTTAAAACCAATACGGGGTAAGGTTTATGTAGCGTTAAAACCAATACCGGGTAAGGTTAATGTTGCCTTAAAACCAATACAGGGTAAGGTTAATGTAGCCTTAAAACCAATACGGGGTACGGTTTATGTAGCGTTAAAACCAATACCGGGTAAGGTTAATGGAGCCTTAAAACCGATACCGGGTACGGTTAATGTAGCCTTAAAACCGATAGCGGGGAGGGTTAATGTAGCCTTAGAGCAAATACCGGGTAAGGTTAATGTAGCCCTAAAACCAATACCGGGTAAGGTTATTGTAGCCGTAAAACCAATACGGGGAAGGTTTATGTAGCCTTAAAACCGATACCGGGAAAGGTTAATGTAGCCTTAAAACCGTTACCGGGTAAGGTTAATGTAGCCCTAAAACCAATACCGGGTAAGGTTAATGTTGCCTTAAAGCCAATACGGGGTAAGGTTTATGTCGCCTTAAAACCAATACCGGGTAAGTTTAATGAAGGCTTAAAACCAATACCGGGTAAGGCTAATGTTGCCTTAAAACCAATACAGGGTAAGGTTAATGTAGCCTTAAACCCGATACCGGGTCAGGTTATTGTAGCCGTAAACCCAATACCGGGAAGGTTTATGTAGCCTTAAAACGAATACGGGGTAAGGTTTATGTAGCGTTATATCCAATACCGGGTAAGGTTAATGTAGACTTAAAACCAATACCGGGTAAGGTTAATGTAGCCTTTAAACCAATACCCGGTAAGTTTAATGTAGCCTTAAAACCGATAGCGGGGAGGGTTAATGTAGCCTTAAAACCAATACCGGGTAATGTTAATGTAGCCTTAAAACCGATACCGGGTAAGGTTAATGTAGCCTTAAAACCAATAGCGGGGAAGGTTTATGTAGCCTTAAAACCAATAGCGGGGAAGGTTTATGTAGCCTTAAAACCAATACCGGGTAAGGTTAATGTAGCCTTAAAACCAATACCGGGTAAGGTTAATGTAGCCTTTAAACCAATACCGGGTAAGGTTAATGTAGCCTTAAAACCGATACCGGGTAAGGTTATTGTATCCGTAAAACCGATAGCGGGGAAGGTTTATGTAGCCTTAAAACCAATACCGGGTAAGGTTAATGTAGCCTTAAAACCAATACCGGGTAAGGTTAATGTAGCCTTTAAACCAATACCGGGTAAGGTTAATGTAGCCTTAAAACCGATACCGGGTAAGGTTATTGTATCCGTAAAACCGATAGCGGGGAGGGTTAATGTAGCCTTAAAACCAATACCGGGTAAGGTTAATGTAGCCTTAAAACCAATACCGGGTAAGGTTTTTCTAGCCTTAAAACCAATACCAATAAGCAACAGTATTTCACAAACTGCAATATTCGGTGCAATACGTTGAAACTAAGTGTAAATTATTCAATTTTTGCGAGAAATTAATTTTCGCTTTGATTCATGAAAAGACCCATTAGACTAGTTGAAAATTTTGCGAATATGAATATCATAGATAATGAATATCTACAAACAAATAAGATCACTAAGATAGCAAATTCCAGATTCACGAACGAAACCCACGGGCGTAGTTCGCAAAGTAAAATATTAGCAAAAAATGTTTTTACAATACTTATCAACTATTCTTAGCTTATGTTTGTTTGTATTTGTTTACAGCGCCACCACCTCAGGCGATAAGTAACAGGATGAGAAAGAGGAGATCTGCAGACTCAAACCAAACAGTAACCAATCAGACTGCAGTGTCTAATACGTCAAATATTTTTGAACCTGCTGACGTCAACTTCACCATGGTCATTGTAACAACCGGCTGTCGCACCTGGAACGAGGCGGAAACAAAATGGACGTCTAAAGGTTGCATGGTAAGTGTATTGAAATAAGCATATCCTCTATACCTGCTTTTGTGATTCCCCTGTTTCTGAACCCTGTTCATTTGCAAATCGCTGTGTATATATATTAAGCAAGTTTGTCTACATCATCAGTTTTGTGTAGCGGAGGTAAACTCACAGGCCCACGTCTGCAATCACACTTTTTTTTCATCCAATACATTTAGAAAAGTAGCATTCTACTATTGCCTCTTTATTTTATTACAAAACACAACAGTACTCGTCACGCATTGGTGTCGTTAAGTGACGACTCCAGGATAGGATAACTGTAAAGAAAAGAAAGTGCTTTCAAACCGTCTTTCCGGGTACTATTAAAGATAGAACTTTGTTGATACTTCTGCTCTAATTCGTTTATATTGCACCTTAAAGGATCAAAAATGTGTCAAACAATGATGTAATTATATTCCATGCCTATTCTATCAGTGTAACCTTGTTGTAATCATATTTAACTTCAAACTAATTCAATTATTCTGAAAATAACATTATAAACGATGATATTTTTTAGGTTTTGCCGTTTTCTACTATGAATGAAACGGTTTGTCGGTGTTCGGGAGAGACGGGGAATATATTTGCAACAACATTTTTTGTCCCTCCCAATACCATTGACTTCAATGCTGTCTGGTCGAAGTTTGATCTTCAGAACGCGGCTGTATACGGAACATTGATAGGACTCTTCTTCTGTTACGTGCTGTTGTGTGTCTTGGCGCGGCGATACGACAAGAAGGACTTACAGAAGGTAAATGACGTTTATTTCTCTTACCCTGGACAGGTGTTTCCGCACTTTTACCGATGTGAGATCTCCTTGTCTCACCCTAGGGTTGAGACGGGGGATTCCCCTGAATTTAGCCTGAGACGTTAACATTACAGTACATTGTGTATACAGGGTAAAAGAAAAAGACTCATTCACCCCCTTGTGGATGAGATAGAGTAATCTCAACCCTCAGGAAAAAAATCTTAAGTTGCTAAACACTCGGCAAAGCCTCGTGTTTGGCAACTTAAGAATCTTCCCCCTCGGGTTGAGATTCCCCTATCTCACACACAAAGGGGTGAGAGATTCTATTTATCTTGTTAGTAATCATCTTAAGGCATTTCCACTACAAAATCCAACCACAAACACTTGACTTTAATATCAGATGCAAATGCAAAGGCTCAACAACTGCTAACGTCATTATAAGTATGACGTCAAAACTGTAACGCTAGATACCACTGACCCTCCATTTGCATATTGCTATTCTATTCATTGAACAAGCGTACACGATAAATACCTTATTTGAACTTAATTTTGATACTTTAATTTGTTCATTTAATTATAAGGTCGCTTCAGTTGACCTTTGTCATCGCCTTCTGTCCGCCGTCGTGCGTCCATTAACAACTAACATGTTTGACAGCTTCTCCAAACCACTGAACATATTTCAACAAATTTTGCAGAAAGGTTTCATGGTCATAAGCTTATGCAACATAAGAAATATATGGATCTATTTCCCGACCCCCAGGGGCCTACGGGACAATGCCCAAAAGGGTCTTAATGGCTACAATTTCAACAATCTTCTTCCGCTTTAAACCTAAATGTGCTGAAATCAAGTAATCTTCATGAATGAAAAGGTCCTAAAGTGCCTTATCAAAGAGGTGAATAGTATTTGTTTTCATTTCAGAATATTTTAGTGTTCAGATCTTAGATACAAAGGAATTGGGCAACAGGCAAAGCCTATGAGCGCCCTCTCCTTACAGTTATCAACAGTTTACAAACATCATATTGAATTTAAGTAATCATAAAACATGTATATTATATTATATTGCTATTTGCATGTCATTATCACTTTTTTCAAAGTTGTTGTTACAAAAACTAGATTGTGAAAAAATGGCAATCACAATGATACTTATGTGCTGGTATCATTCCACACAGCAAAGTCATGTGAAAATAGATAAACAAGTAAGCGTAATCTAGTAAAAGCGTCTTGTATCTTTAATAAATAGTGAACAGTGTTTCTACTGGGTCACTGAATTCTCATGTGAAGGGGGTAACGTTAACTTCAGTTCATATATGGATATAGCATGTTTGGTTATGTTTTGCTTATTTTCTATCAGAAAGAAGTTAAACTTGGTTGGAAAGAATAAAAATCTGAATGAATTTTGATGGTAGGAAAATAGTACCCTGACTCACACCAAGGGGTCTGAGAGTTGGATCTATTATTGTTAAATTGGCTAAAATTTCAACAATCTTCTTCCTACCAAGATGTGCAAGAACTAGAAATGCCATATATTTTTTTTTTTCCTTTTTCCCCGTTTTTTAACAGTTACAAGTTTTATATAAAATATATGTTTGTCAATCTCAAACGTCATACCAACTGTATTACAACTCAGGTGACCACTTGTTGACCCCTAGCATCACCAATGAGCCCTATAAGGATGAAACAGCTGTATATTGCAGGTATATTCTGTTTCGGCACTGTATCGGTTCAGTCACATGTGTGTATGCTACATTCATCTTTCTTTGTCAAGCTCGTTTACTTAAATTTTTCTTAATCAAAATATTCAATACCGCTCAGCTACATTGCCTGATGTTTAATTTCCAGTGGACGACACATTTCTTAAGTGACACTGACAGGAACGATTCCTATTTCTACATTATCAACGTCACCACGGGCTTACGGCGTGGGTCAGGTACCAAATCTAATGTCAGCTTCGTTGTGGCGGGAGAGGACTCGGACTCTGGAGTAAGAATACTCAGCGACGGGAAATCACAGGTATGTTTCTTAAAACCTACCTCAATTTTCCAATATTTATTTTTAATGATAATTATACCCCGCAACGAAGTTCGGGGTATACTTGAATCACCCTGTCTGTCTGTCTGTCCGTCTGTCTGGTTGGATGTTTGTCGTCCGCAAAATCTTATACGGGCAACTCCTCCTTAACTTGTGCACCGATTTAAATATAACCTTTACATACACTATAGTGATCACCTAATATAGTGCATCCAGATATTATTGTTTCATTCCGACCCTTTTTACGGAGTTATGGCCCTCTTTAGAAAAAACCCGTCCGGCCAACTCCTCCAAAACTACTGGGCCAATTTCAACGAAAGTTCACAGTATTGATAACTACCCCTTGACGTTGTTTCTTTCTGACAGATTGACCTCATATTGAAGTTGTGCACCTGGGTATACTTTACGCATTTTGTTTTCATTTGAACCCTTTTTAATGGTGGACAAATGTTCCCTTTCTGCTAATTGATTGCGTAAGGTATCTTAGTTAGACCCTGTATAACAGTTATAGTTTGTTTTACCATTTCTTTTAAAGAAAAAAAATGAAATTCATCATCAACATAAAATTCCTTTTGTTGAAGGGATTTGAGCATGGCTGTACCAAACGGTTTTTCATGGGGACAACAGAATTTCTGGGTGATTTGAGTTACATCCGGGTGTGGCATGATAACTCGGGAACCGATGGCAACCATTCCTGGTACCTCAACAAGATTACCATAGACGACCCACAACTCAATAAAAGGTATTTATAATGTCGGTAAATGAACATTGAGAAGCATGAATAACGTTATAAGTAGTTGATTTAGAGTGAGCCGAGATTAGTAAACCAGGGTCTAACATATAATGATTAATAGCAGATTAAGAGTGAGTATAGAAAATACTCATTTAAACGGAAAAAATGTGTTGGATATTTTTTGATAATCCCACCCACGCCCTTCATTTCTGTCGAAATAGTGCCCATTGATTACGGGTATACATTTTTAAATTACAAAATAGTAGAAAATTGGTCATGAAAATGAATAACATTCGGTGATTACATAAACAATGAACTTCAAGCATTAACAAATCACAAATATGTAATTTAATATGGGATTTAAATTTGGTTCTGATACCTGTTTATTAAATAGAGGTGTGTCATAAAGACGCTTACGGTTCTCGGCGCGTTCGAATCGAACGTTTTAGTGCATTCAAGTGAGATAAAATTGTTGGGATCGGGGTCGGTCGTGGTACCTGAAATATACAATTTTTTACCTGATCATGACATTAGACATGACAAATTAAATAATATAATCTTTTACAGATATGTGTTCCTATGTAACAAATGGCTCTCTTACGACCACGATGACGGGATGATTGACAGGATTCTGCCAGTTTGCGGACAAGATAACCTGACGAAATTCGGTGTCCTGTTCTCCCAACGTGCACTACATGGCTTAACGGAAGACCACTTATGGGTGTCAGCATTTATGCGACCAGAAAGAAGCAGTTTCACCCGCGTAAATAGAATATCTTGTATTATGATGTTATTGCTTCTCACCATGATTACTAACGCCATGTTCTTCTCGCCGGATGAGACCAACAACACGGATGCAGTATCGATTGGAAGCTTGACATTTTCCCTGAAAACCCTTTATATTTCAATGGTGGGTATAGTCATAACAACATTTCCCGTCGTACTGGTGGCAGTGTTGTTTTCGAACTCCAAAACGAGGCAACACAAAAAACGCAAATCCAAGACAGACAACAGCTGTTCTGATGACGTATTTTTCACAACTGACCATTTGCCACTACCTGCGTTTGTACCTTACATCGCTTGGATGATTGTTATTCTCGCCCTAGCTTCGTCGGCATTTTTCTTGCTGTTGTATAGCATGGAATGGGGAAAGGCCACCTCAGAGGCATGGCTGACTTCATTTGTCTTATCATTTTTTGAGTCATTTTTGGTCGTCGACCCCTTAAAGGTACTGTCAATTAAGTTATGTTTATATCTCTTTAATTTCATGTCTTTGAATATAAATAACAAACAAAAGGATACATTGAACAGTCCGTCTTAAAGCTGCGTTTGTGCAAGGTACCCAAGTGTATGGTAAATACAATCGATATTTAAGTCATCTACTCTTGAATTAATTTCAAACGGAATACCCAAATGATCGATAATTTGCATTTTGATATTCATTTGTTAAACAAAATGACCTGATATTGTATGACAAAAGTGTAAAGTATACATTGGTCATACAATATCATGTCAATTCTCACTATTACTCACTAGAACTCACTATTAAGGCATTGATGTCTTTTACTTGCATGGCGACGTCATCAGCAAGAAAAAAAACATCAATGCCTTAATACTGAGTCCCACCTGGGGGACGTTGTACCAACACGACGACTAATCTGCAAAATGTAAACAGTATGAGCAGGAAAACTGCCAAACAAAATTAAAATTGACAAAAAATCTCAGTTGTTCTGACGTTGTAACTCCAACATCTTCCCATTTCAAGGCTATGAATTGTATGGAGAAATAGACTATAGAAAATAATATATTTATTACTAAATTAGATATTATATCGATGAAAAAAGCTTCCATACCTGATTAGTCATGCAATGACGGATTGACACATACAGTGTAGCAAGATTCGTAAACGTATACTTTAGCAACACAAAAGCATTAAACACTTTCCTCACTTACTCAGACCACATTCCCAGATATTGAGAACTATTTTTTTTGCAAATCTCGAATTTTGTATTATGATAGCATTATCATCAATTAATAAATGCTATCCGTTTATTAAAAAAAAATAGGAAGGAAAAAATTGAAAAACTACCAATTTTTGTCTATTTACTAGTACAAACAACAGAAAATTAAGCATACAGTATGTCTAACTATCTAAATGAGTATATTTTCAAAATGTTTCTGCTGGTAAATATAACATTATCTAAGCTATTATAACTGTATTTGACTCAACATTTACTTGAATTAAATGATTATTTACATTGTATAATTATTATTGTATGATATTCTATATAAAAATCTATGCACGCTGCATGTCATTTCCACAAAATGGGGGTTGTAGATCAAATTAGCGTAAGCAAAATATACATAATACTAAATAAATGAAAAATTATTTTATTGTTCTTTTTGTTGTCGTTGCATGTTATTTTTTAATCTATTTCCTTGCAGGTTGTGTTCGTTGCCGCAATATTTTCACTTATTTGCAGACGACCCTTCGACTATCATTCAGCAAACGTTAATATGGAGGAAGTCAAGAAGATGGCAAGCACGTTCACTGGGAGCTCGATGAGGACATTCCTATGTAAGTAATAGTCCTAGTTTAAAGCCTAGAATACGCGTTTTAGCTAACCTGTACGAAGGGCAGGTGGAATTAGGCCGTGACGCGGCTTCCATCATACGGCGTCAACATTTTCACCCTTAAACAACTTTTTACTGATTAACGAAGAAGACTGTGGTCATGCTATTTAGCTTTAACATGTTTGGTTTAAGGGGTTTCCCATTTATTGACCTTGATCTACATTAAAGGGCACAGGGGTCAAATAAGTTCAATCATTTAAACGACTTCTTCTCAAAAACAATATGGCTTATATATATAGTCATGTGTTTGGACAGAAGCATGCTGGACCAATGGGCAATCAAACATGGACAATTGATGAAACAACTTCTTCTGAAAAACAAGAGGCATGTGTTATTTATATTTAGTCGTCTGTAGCATACTTTGATATTGACCGAATAAAAGACGTTAAGGCCGAATTAGTACACAATTAATCACGTTAACGGTAATAAAATCTTCCAAAAAAACCCCACGTAAAGATCAAGAATTGTAATATTGATTTTTTTCATATTTTTACCTTGGCCCACTGTAAAGGTCACAGATGTGAGATGAATAACAGTTAAGCGAGTTCAGTCTTCCTTTGTGCCATTTTCAACATTTGCTTTTGTGAAGTGGTGTCTCTTTTCGACACATACCGTTGAGGTGCTTTCTATCCATCTAAGATTGTGATAATTTCTATGACAACTGGCGACGTTATAACATCGCAGAGTTTCAATATTGACAAATGTATACTAACACTTGCTCAATAGATTTCCCCCCGTGCACCGAATATTCTAAAATCAACATGTATAACACACATATGACTGTGACAGTATTGAAAAAGAGCTAATGAATATACACGTAAATTCAAAGTGCTTTCAATTTCGAAATAAAGGTAAAATATTGCGTCAAAAAATCGCCGTATTACTGCTTTATCCTTAACCTGAAAGGCACTTTCAAATAAACATTCCGAAACTTATATAGCTTTTTTCGTCAATTATGAGTGCTCAATACTGTCAGTGTATCAGGTTTCCCGTGAAAATATCAATATCTAGTTACACTGGATTCACTGAAGAAGAATTATTGTTGTCTCTCGTGACTGTCACGTGATCATCACTCACTAGGTACGCAAGCACTGTTGTAAATAGCCAGTTTGAACGTATGGACTTCGGACTTGGCGATCTTGTTTTGGGGTAAAAAAAATGCAGTTGAAGTAAAATCATGTTATATATTGTTATCTCTATACATGACATTGATTTATTATAATTTTCAAGAACAATATTAACTTGTGTCATTGACATAAATGCAGATCAACGTTCACAACGTTTAGAAGCATAATACTAATATACGATCAATTCATGTTTTTAGTGTAAACATCGGTAAAGATTGACATATTTTATGTGCAAGTTATCTAACAGTGGTCTTTGAATTAAGTCGAACCGTTGATATATAAATCTAAAAATTAGTGTTTTGTCTGTTTAGCTTTCCGCCGTGAAGTACTGAGTGAAAAAGATGACGTTGCGGATGATACAGTTGAGAAAGCACGAGAACAACGTCTGAAGGAACAGAGGGCCCTGACAGTATTCTTAGAACTTCTGTTCTACATTGTATTTGCCTTCATAGTGTATAGCATTAGCTATGTAAACCGGGATCAACGATCATTTGCACTCAAGGATCATATTTACCGCGGTCTAAACGACTCCAATGGTCAGTTCGGTTATGGCAAGGTAAGCTAGTCGGTTTAAAACTTAAATGTTTTTCATGCTATGATAATGACATTAAGTATGCTGAAATTAATATCATTTAATGACAATTTTGACAATTTTAATAAATATAATTTCCGTAAGAATCATAGTTTTATAAATGTGTAACATTACTTGTGAAATACCGGAGTGTACTCTCGTCATAAACCGTTTCGCGGTTTATTTAGAGTACACTCCGTTCTTTTGTGTTATATCTCCATAACATGAAAAATATATTCAAGTTAATCCTTATAATTTAATCTACTATACACAATCCCGGTGGAAATCCACTTTTATTGATGTATCAGCCAATAAAAAACGGCGTTACAAACGGCGACGTAATTTTTTTACGTTATGGGATGATAACATAAAATTTTAAGCCAATGAAAATGCTTGTTACAAGCAAGATTAAATTATTACGCCATCAACGGTAAATAAACGTAAGAACAATTTCTGTTTTACTATTTTCTATATATTCATTTGCAGATTACTGACGCCAGTAGCTTTATAGAATGGTTAAACGGAACTTTTTTTGAGAATTACTTTCCCGAAGCAGCGTACAATGGAGACGCTATCGGTGTGAGAGATAAATTGTTCTTCTCTGATCTTGTTAATGCTAGGATTGGTCCACCAAGGCTACGTCAAGTCCGGATGAAAAGGGGTTAGTTGAAGTAGATTGGTTTGTTTGGTTACATTTTGTTTATCATCCTTCCAATAGCTATGGCCATTTAATGACGTAGTTGAAATAGAGAAAATGTCATGGTGTCGAACTTCAAAACGAAATCAGAACTCAGATTTGATAACTACTGGTGGTATCCAAAGTAAAAGGAGAGCCAACATGAACCAACTCAAAAGTGAAGGCAAACAAATGTGCCCAAAGATCCTTAAAACCTTAAATAAATATGAGCAATTTTAATGAATCTCGAACAGACATCACCTTTTTTGGGCTGGTGTCTGGTTTTCGGTAATGCCAAATTACAATTGTTTTCAAACAATTAGCATCATGTTATTGTATTACTTAAAAAGTTTAAACGCTTTATTTCAGATCTTGTAATTATTATCGATTAATGTTGAATCAGAAAATGCCTGCAATGCCCTTATATACCGCATAGGATGGAACATATTCGGCCAGTATCTAAATTTGGACCAATCAGAGGCATAGCTTCACGTTTATATAAATACAGTCAAGTTGCAATCAGAAACCTTTTACCGAAAGAAAAAAACAGAAATGCGGTAAAAGCAATAACTCCTCATAATCTTTTGAGGTATTACACACACTACTGATATAAAAAAAATGGATAGCATTAAATTAAGATATATGATAATTAGATACATATGATACAAAATCTGTCGAGTTCCACAATTGGTACATGAGATTATACTCATTCCGGAATATTCTGATTTCGCCTTCTTTGATTTCTTAATCTCTTTCGCTATGTGATGCTAAAGTTACCGTTTCATACGCAACAATTGGAAAGGTTTTTTTCTGAAATAGTGTTAGGTCCTATTTTTAAATAATACTACGTTCCTCGCTAAACGTCAAACTACCAACAAGCTATTTATTTATATTAAGGTAGCCATTTGTATCTTAGCTTGATTTCTTTAATTACATAATTCAATATTAAACGTGTGCAAGATATTTTATTTCAAAATGAAAGTAGACATCTAATTTTATTTTATAAAACCATGCATGATATGACTGTTACAGGAAAATGTCCGTACGACAGACTTATTGAGAACAGAGACTGCATTCCTAACTATGACATGTATGAGGAAGACGAAGAATCTTACTGTGTAGGATGGAACGACAAGACGTCCGCAGAATGTAATAATCCTCGCCTGTATTCCATGAATGCGTGGCAGTACCAGCGGTCAGAGGACATTTGGGGCATACCGATAACAGGCGAATATGAAACATATGGAGGAGGGGGTTACGTCTTGAAGCTTGACAATGGTCTGGCGAACTCAAGATACATAGCAGAGGAGCTGGTAAAGTACCACTGGATCAACAGAGCAACAAGAGCAATTTTCCTAGAGTTCACTCTCTACAATGCCAATACTAACCTGTTCCTGTACATGATTTTCCTAACGGAATTCACGGAAAATGGTGGCCTACTAACATGGGTAGATGTCTACCCCTTCCGAGCTTACCAGCATACGGGAGCGCTGGGTGCATATGCCCTCCTGTGCTACTTCATATACTTAATTGTTTTAATCTATGGGACAGTTAAGGTAGTGAAGAAAATCATTGTACAACGGCTTCGGTTTTTTAAGAATTTATGGAATGTCACCGACCTCTCTTGTGTGATCCTGAGTTACCTTGGTGTGGTTTTATGGTGTCTCCGCTACGTATTTGCATCTCAATCCATGGATATTTACTACGAAAATAAAAAAGCATTCATCAACTTTCAGCATGTTGTAATATATGATGTATCTTTCAATGTGATAATCGGCTTCATTGTCTTCGTTGCAACGATACGACTGCTTCGCATAATGGGATACAACAAAAGGATGACACAGCTGGCAAGCGTTATATCCAATGCCTCGGCCGACCTGAGCGGTTTCGCGATTATTTTTGGAATAGGATTCTTTGGATGGGTGATACTTGGCTATTTGTTATTTGGAACAAATCTCTACGAATACAGAAGTATCTTTACTACACTCGGAAGCCTAAGCAATTCCCTCATAGGAAAAAACAAACTGGACGCAATGACACGGGCTGCTCCAAACTTCGCAAATTTTTATTTCTTCACTTATGTTATATTTGTCATGCTAATTTTGATGACGATGTTTTCTGCGATTTTGAATTCGAGTATTACAACAGTAAGATCGGACATGAACAAACTCCCCGACACGTACGGCATATTGGATGTTTTGAATAAGTACATGAGTGGACTTAGAAACTTCGTCTTCAGAAGTACAAACGCCAATGCGAGACAAAATGATAGAAGAACCAGTAAGTGAACAATTTTATATTATTTCATTCCACTGTTAAGATTGTATTGAAAGCAGAATTACCCCATACAAAAACATGCATTATTTATTTTTAGACCTTTCATTTGGCACAAAGATTTTTCCATGTTGGAAATAACAAATCCACTGATATTGAATTAGCTAATGTGCGTTCATAAACTTTATCTAAATTTAAATGTTGCGTTAAATTCGTTTGATCAAAACATCGCGAAAGTATTAAGATGACTAAATATTTTGACAGGGCAGAGACGTAAAAAAAATAGTCAATAGATTTTTCATTAGCTAGACTTTAAACCTTTACCTTCTTTAAACGTATACACTACTTGTAGAAGTACTGGTACTGGATTTCGACTAAGATAACAAAACGATGTTCCTCAAAGTCGTCATTAAACAACGATTGGGCACACTAAAAATAATTTGTCGGTTTTTTCTTTGCAGTTTACTCCCCAGGCAGTGGACATCCTCGTCCAAAACTGGACACTACCAATATTATGCGGACAGTCCGAGACATCTTCGGCAATACTTATGATGACGAGGTTAGTTGAATAGTATCCATATCTTCAGTCAGTTGTTTATGCAAATGCAAGTTTTCAAACCAGGGTTGTTGCAACATATAATGGGTTGATGTTAAAGGGTTCATATTGCAGTCACCAAATTCAATTACTAAACCGGTATGGTAAGAACAAATTCACCTTAAAGCCTTAATTAACCAGACCATACATTTGTATATCGATCGTTCTAAACGACAACGTATATACAATCAAACCTGCATAAAGAGACCACCTTTTGAAAGGTCAAATAGTGCTCTCTTAATACAGGTGCTCTCTTAATGCAGGTGCTCTCTTAATACAGGTGCTCTCTTAATGCAGGTGCTCTCTTAATACAGGTGCTCTCTTAATACAGGTGCTCTCTTAATGCAGGTGGTCTTTTAATACATGTAAAATTCACTATTAAATCCACTCGAGTTGAAACATTAAAAGTGGTCCCTTAAAACAGGTGGTCTCTTTTTGGAGTTTGTCGCATGATAAAGTTTGACTATATTTGGTATCATGTATATATTTTACTATTATAAGATCAAAGTTTACGTCATGTTTTTTTTTTTTATACCTAGGAATGCAACGAACCAATACAAGCGTTTGATGACATTTGCTTAGACGTCCCGACACAAGACAATATGCAGGTTGGATCACACGGCTTCAACATTTACTGTCAGGAGGAGAACACCAACGAAACAGACGAATACATAGACGCGCTAGTATTTTGTAAACTACCGATGGAAAAGTCTGATAAACTTCTTCTTCAAACCAAGAACACAGATTCCTTACCAATGTCATTTTTATAAGTCCTTGTCGCCAGCACCTATTTTTAAACGTGAATCACTTTTGACATATTATATATTGTATAAACATAATCGTTTTATGTACACGTTATATCTTATGATCTTCAATAAACGGGCTTGTATTAACTGATGCTTACATGAAAAGACGTCATTTATGGACATCATACAGACTTGGGTGTTGTGACAAGGAGAGGAACCAAGATGTAAACGGATAATGCTGGTAAATAAACACTGAAGACACGAAAGACGAAGTTTTTCACGATTGTTTTAACTTTTCACTGAAGGCCTGTACATTTTTTATTGTTAATCAAACCATCGGGTGCCCTTACATTTGTGATAACGAATCGTTTCAAGGACATTTTCAGGACACAACTGTCCTTCGTTTTTGTTGTGCAAGACTTTATATGTTCTAAGTGAAAATGACAAGTTATCGTTAATTTATTCATGCATATGTTTCTCTGCTGGCTTTATTAAATAATTTATTTCGTTAAAAACGTGGTGTTTTTTTTATATTGAAAATTTTCAGACGAGTTGAATAACTCTAGTTGTGCAACATCTTCTGTTATGTCACTGTTACAAATTCAAACATTTTAATCACGTTTGAAGAATTTTTACATACAAAGATTAAGTGGTAATTGTATAAAGATCTTTTTGCTTAATGACACCTAAAAAACAACTCTTGATTTATGTAACAGTATTAACTTTATATATGCATAAAACAAGCCCCAAATACCTCTATTTTAACAGATATGTTAGATAAGGCCCCCATCGATAGTTACATTAGATCATGTAAAAAAAAACACGAAATATATAGGTACACATTTTTTGCATATGTAAGCTAATACTACAGTAAATATAGATATAATCAGATCTAAGTCCCGGATAATGAAACAATCTTCAGTCCAAGTAAAAATATTAAGTTTATTCCTATGCATGTATTGAAGTGTAATTATACAAATATATGCCCATACACATCCTTTTTCATAACTTAAATGTAAAAAAAAAAAACTTCCATCCGATAAATACGATGTGTCAGCGCAGTCAAACACAATCATCCCGTCTTGGAATATCGTTGAACGAACTCCCTGTTTTATGAAATTGTCAACATCCATGTGGAATGGTTGCAAAACCATCTGGCACAAATTATCACAAGAATTCAGGATGTTAATTAAAAACGAGTTTCCCGGTTGTCGAACTTCCGGTACACACATAATTAATACAATGTTTCAGTATATTGTTAAACACCTTTTATTCCATAAATAATGCATACACATATATTAATGAACATCACCCCAACATACATTAATATCATCTTTCAGACTTTAAGGCAGATTTCATGACGTATGTCGTGTGACATGCATATCATTTTTCACCTATCATACAAATAAAGCAAGGGTGGTTTTATTGCTTAAGCACGAAAAACTCAGAATTTGTTTTCATGTTTTTGGCCTTAAAGAACTATAAGCTCCATCTAGGAAAAAGAGAAAGAAAAAAAGAAAACGGTTAGCGAATATAGCGATGTTACCCCACAACTGAACATTCCTTTATTATATAGGTTACTTTATCAAACGTACATACTCAGGTAGCTTAAACTTCCAACTAAGTTGACATCAGCGAACTTAAATGCATTTGCCTGTGAGATTACCGAGCGGTTGAGTTTCTGAAAAAAAAAAGTTTATCTACTTCATCATACATGAGCTAAAACAAAATTTCGACATGTGATCATCACCCGGAAATATTTCTTCATAAAATAATCTGCACTCTTTGCACAGTTTAAGATCGATACTGAGAATATTTCGGCATGACAAAGGAGGAAAACAAAGGGACAATAGCTAATGTATTTCAGTACCAACTAGAATTTTGTTTTTGTGAACAAAAACATATGTCTCCCCTTATTAGCCAAAAGAAAAACTCTGGTATAAAAATTAACAAAGGGCCATATCGCTTTATATAGTGGGGCATGAGACTCGACACTCCTACTTACCTAGATACATTGAAACTTTAGCAAGTTTGGTCAACGTAGGTGAACCTAGAACACTGACAGGTCAGTAAGGGCCCCGTCTTGTGTCAATATAGCCCTAATAATCATCAAGAAGCAATCTGCCCATATCGCTAAGCTTGACGTTTGACATTTGGACTTCAAAAACACCCGCCAGGAAGCAAAATATACGTTTTACATGTACTATGATGTGAGTCGTGTTTCATTCCACCTTCCTATTGGCTGGGCTAACAGAAATGTAAATACCGTTGCAAAACTTATTTGTTAGCTTTGATTTGTTTCATTTCACCTTAAATACCTCCCCCATCAAGAGACAGGGTCAAAGTCAGAGATCCACTTTGTCTTTGACCTTTGGACCCAAATGACCTTGACCTTTAACCCAGTGACCCTGATCTTTAGTCGGTTGACTCATTCTTCAATTCCGACCAACTTTGCTTCATAATATAATAACAAAATTTTAATCAGTGAAAAATACAAAACTTGACCTTGACCTTGAACCTTTAGAACCCGTAACCTGGACCTTTGATCAGTTGACTCTGTGTAAAGTTCTGAACAACTTTGCTTCATACTAACATACAATAAATGTTCATCAGTAAAAAGAAACAATATTTGACCTTGAAATTGACTCAGTGACCTTAACCAGAAGTCAGTTGACTCCTTGTTAAATTCCAACCAACTTTGCTTCATAATGTCATAACAAAATGTTCATCAGTGAAAAGATACAAAATTTGACTTGACCTTTGACCAAGTGACCTTGATCTTTGGTCAACTGACTCCTTGTTTAATTCCGACCAACTTTGCTTCAAAGTGTCATAACAAAATGTTCCCCAGTGAAAAGATACCTAATTTGACCTTAACCTTTGACCCAGTGACCTTGACCTGAAGTCAGTTGACTCTTTGTTAAAATTCTAATCAACTTTGCTTCATGTCATAACAAAATGTTCATCAGGGAAAATATATACAAAATTTGACCTTGACCTTTGACCCAGTGACCTTTGACCCAGTGGCCTTGACCTTTGGTCAGTTGATACCTTGTTTGATTGTGACCAACTTTGCTTCATTTCGTCAAAACAAAATGTTAAGCAGTTAAAATATACAAAATCTGACCTTGGCCTTTGATCCGATGACCTTGACGTTCGATCGGTTGAATTCTTGTTGTATTGAGACCAAGTTTGCTTCATAATGTCATAACAAAATGTTAACCAGTTAAGAGAAGGAAAAAAAATGTTAAAATCCAAGATGCTGATTAGCAGCCATTTTGAATCCAATCTGCCCGAAAAATTACCAAGCAGAACAAGGTTGCATGGGAAATCGTCATGGTCAACGTAGGTGGAATAATATGGAACTTGTGCTCAGGACAAACTTCCACATTAAAATTAAACAAAAGGCCATAACTCTGTATGTAGTGAAGCATAATAAGACCCTTCATTCGAAAGGGAGACATAATTATCGTTAATTTAAAATATGATGGTAGTACTTCTGTTTCGAGGAAACCAAGAATAGACCTTCTGTATCCCACTGTATGTGTATAGTAAAAGACGACGACTAATGTGCCCCCGCCCTGTGGAATCGAGGATTTTCTTTCGTACCTTCTACGAAGGGGAAATGGAAGTGATCTAAATTGATTTACTTCCCCCAATGGAATACTTGGGATCTGTTTCGTTTTCTATCTTCTTTGCTGTCTTCTTTCTTACGTTTACTTTTTGTTAAAGATGGTGTCTCTAGGAACCCGTCCTCTTGGCTGTTGCGAGGATGCTAAACCACAAACAATCAAACAAACTTACAGTAAAGCAATATGTCTTTGTATATCTCTGTGTGAAATATTCACCTTTCGAAACTGAAACTAACATCTAATTTGTAAATTTGATGAACGAACAGAAATATCCTGTTTACAAATCGAGTTAAATTTACAGGTTTTTTTGTTTCATTTCATTGCTTCCGGTAGACTATCAGGCCGGAGAATTCTGGGACTACAGCCACGAGGTTAGGATGGCATATTAGAAACAACCTGCAAAATTTAAATAGATTAATGAAACGTAGTATGAATCGATTTGATTGGTTGATGATTAATGGAAAAAGATATATATAAATGATGCATATACAGTCATGCTGGCCCTTCAAACTTGATGATATATTAAAAAGAATGAGAAACGAGCTCACAAGCAGCAGTAATGAAATAGCGAAAATCAAGACACAACACATTTTAGATATTAGGCTTGTGATTCGACTAAAGAGCAAGAGTATTACTCATGACTATGATACTACATCCGGTGTACACGTAACATGGAATGCACCCTACTCTTGGAATTCTTGGTTCAAAAAGACTGCTGCCTCCATTAAATAGCAAGAGGCCCATGGGCCTAAACGGTCACCTGAGTCCTACAGTATTTATTTTTGTTGTTGGATGTACTAAATTGAGTACAAAATAGTTAAGTATAACGTTAACTTAAGTTAGGACCATGAGCTGATCATTCCTAGACCGAGTTTCAGTTAAATCGGCCTATTAGAACTTGTTTCTAAGTTTGTAATACTTTTTTCAAAATGGCGGCCGTGGCGGCCATATTGAATTTCTGATCGACCCGAAAAATAACAACACTTTGTCAGGACCATGAGTAGATCATTCCTACCAGGTTTCACTTCAATCGGCCAAGCAGAACTTGACTTTAAGTTTGAAATAGTTTTTCAAAATGGCAGCCGTGGCGACCATATTGTATTTCTTATCGACCCGAAAAATAACAACACTTTGTCAGGACCATGAGTAGATCATTCCTACCAGGTTTCACTTCAATCGGCCAAGCAGAACTTGACTTTAAGTTTGAAATAGTTTTTCAAAATGGCAGCCGTGGCGACCATATTGTATTTCTGATCGACCCGAAAAATAACAACACTGGGTCAGGGAGATGTCAGTTACCTTCCCATGAAATATTAATGAAATCCCTTTGCCAGTATTTCAGCTTAAGTTGAAAATGTAAAATGTTAACGGACGACGGACGATGGACGACGGACGACGACGGACGAAGACGGATAGCAATAGGTCACTTGAGCTAAAGCTCAGGTGACCTAAAAATGAAAAAAAATAACTTTCTTTATGATTATCTTTCATTGATAACTCAAGATTATCCGACTAAGGTTTCCAAGCTTTTCAAAGCACCATAAAGATATTCATCCCTTTCACATATTTCTTCCTCAGAGAAACACAACCTAGTCCATCATGAATCGATGTTCAAGCAAATCCTATCGACCACTACTACAACTTTATTGAGCATTATCTGCATAGGACGATAAAAATGTTTATTTTCAAAATCTGTTTGATAAAAGAGTTTCCGCAATTTGAGCAAAAGGATACAAGATTGTCTCAAAATTATATTACTATATTCAGTTGGATAAAGGGAAGAGAAAATAAACAATCAATTTTACGCAGGAGGTCTTAATGAGCGAGGAAACCGGAGTACCTGGAGAACTCTCACATGGTCGGGTAAGTGACACCTTATCTTTCATACCACCACGTCTGATCGGGGAATCGAACCCCAATCGCCTTGGTGAAAGTCAAGTGCGCTCTCCACTGCACCATCAGACCAGTGCAAAAACGTAACATATATCTACAAAAATAGGCAATCTGAATATATATATATATATATATATATATTTGTATTTCATGAAACTAACACTTTTGACATAAATCTGTATTCAAGAACTTTTTTACTAACTTATCATGGGTTTAAGTATATCAACTTGTTTTGTTCAATGGCAATCATGAGTTGTGTCTAAACCGTTATAGCCAGTCATTATAAGAATAACTTGACATTTAAATTGACCATTCAACTTGTTATATGAATATAATTTATCCATAATCGACATCCGATAAAAAACGCAAATTAATCTGTGCAGCGAGGAATTAATAAAATAAACAGTATATTACCATCAGTGAGATACATGTTGGCAACGTCTTTGGCGAATGTCACAACTTTCAGAGCAGTTACGTTAACCATAATCATGGAAGCAATCAAGCATATCACATATCACGGATTCAATATAATAACAATGACCCATTAGCACTATTTTATATCAATACACTTTTTTTAACATTTAAAAAAACATAATTTAAGAAAATAAACAAAAAATAAAAAACGAAAAATCCATCTTTATCATTATTAAAACAAAACAAATGAGCATATTTATAGCGTCATGGATATGAACGGACACACCCACTTTCAGCTCATCGACACGTATTATAATAACTTTGGTTTTCAAGTATATCAAGTATTAGCTTCAGGAACCGTATATCATTATCTGATCATTTTTTATTACAAATACTTTAGATATCACCTTCGTAGAATACTAGCCACTTCCTATCGACTCGGCTAGAGAGAATTTCTCTTTAGTTTAATCGGTTGAGCGTGAGACTAGTAAGGCAGAGGTCCCGGGTTCGACCCATATAGTGCAAGCATTTGAATAATGACTTAGAATACATCGATACCCACGTGAAGACCCGAGGAATATTGACAAAAATACTCAGCGATACTTTCACAAGAGTCGCTTCGATCCCTAGAAAACTTGGGACGAGTTATTTCCTGGAAGGGGAGTATGTCATCCTAGTCAAATATTAGCTGCTTCCTACCGACTCGACGAAAGAGAATATTTTTAGCTCGTTCGGTAGAGCGTAAGACTAGCAAAATGAAGCAAACTTATTTTTGTTTTAGGATGTCATCCAAGGTCATTTAGTCACAAATTTGGAATAGACTGGGGTACAGCAGCTTTACTGAAGATGACATAAATTTATAGAAATTGAATCGGTCGAAAAATGAGATACGTTTCCTAGAGCTAATAGAGTACAATTACGCAACACTTCCATGGAAATAACATTGTACAGATATTTGCAAAATAATGCAAACTCAAATAATCGTTGTCCACATAACAATTAAACCATACCAGAAAACCGTACATAATCATGATTATGGGGATTTCCTGCTGATGCCAAAGTCAGTCAAATAAGTTTCCTTTACAGGAAAGGGGTCTCATGAATATTCACATGTACAACAAATTATGCATACGGCGAACTCTTCCTTGGTCCAATAGCGTTCCTTTAAATGTGATTGATCGTATATATTATTATATACCGTTCAATATCAAAATGTTAATGCACAATTCCCTTTTAATGACTTCTAATTTTAAATTGTCCATCTTCAACGCTATTTGTTATCATATTACTGCTTCAAATATGTTGCAGTAAACCTTTATATAATGCCCTTCGCTCCATTTGCCACCTCACTTACTGCCATCATATGGCAGTGTCCCTTTTCCCCTATTACTCGATTTATCACCAAACTCTTTTGCAAAATCAAAACTTCTCTGAACCAAACGTGGCAGAATAACAAGGTTTTACTATATACTGTTAACAGTGGAAATTTTCGCGGTGTGAAAAAACTCGCGAGTAAATTAGCACGCGAATTCCTATTTAAGGATTACAAATATAAAGAATATTTAGATTCAGAACCATCGCCAACGCTAACTTCTCAATATCACACATAAGTTAAAGAGTCACAACGCCAACATTTCCACACGCAAAAATGTCCACTTAAACAGTATTTCTTTTTCTCAAGACGTTTTAATGAGTATAACTCAATATGGTAATTAATCACTGTGCTAATATATTTCGGTAACTATTTCTTTAAAATAGCAATTAGTCAGTTTTGATTTTGTTCATACTGGACCAAATATGTGCCGAAACATAACTGTTTTAAGGGAACGCACGAGACTGGTCAATTGACAAGCCTAATTAAATACCCCCTCATTTCCTGACCTTTGTCCACAAATAACACATTTATTCACAGAATGCTTTGCACGGAGATAGGTTAACGTCACCGTGATGAAAACTCTTGAATTTTCCTTTCCGCTGCCAATAGGTGCTCCGTATCTTCCGTGCTTTCTGCCGTGACAAAGTCATTGTCCCATTCCAGATCTGTAGAATTCACAGGACTGTCTCTGCTTTTATGAACAAATGCAGTCACTAAATTTTCTTCCGTTGATGACCTTGTTTTCTTTTGAGGTACCACACCTGTTAAAATTATAAAGGAAAATAAATCTTTTATCTAGGCTTCAAATACAATTTGATTAATTAATCATAAAAAAATGTAATGTTATTCTTTACGGTAAAAACGTTTGTATGTCGTTCCATTCTTGGGTGTTTTAAATACTGAACCATGGGCTGTCCCTCTAGATAAAACGTCAAAGTTATCATTTGAACCGATTTGTTTTTCCGAAATTTAATATACGGATAGAAACCTAGACAAATAGAGGTAAACAATAATTTTATCGAATTTCGTTTTCGGTTAATATCTAATTCAAATATAAAACCCTTACACTGAATTAATCAATATCAACTAGAACACTGACAGGTCAGTAAGGGCCCCGTCAAGAAGCGATCTGCCCATATAGCTAAGCTAGAAGTTTGACATTTGGACTTCAAAAAGAATCGCAAGGAAGCAAAATATACATTTTACATGTGCTATGATGTGAGTCTAGTTTCCTTCCACCTCCATATTTGCTGGGCTAACGGAAATGTAAATACCAGTGCAACACTCATTTGTTAGCTTTGATTTGTTTTATTTCACCTTATAAACCTCCTCCATCAACAGCCAGGGTCAAAGTCAGAGATCAACTTTGTCTTTGACCTTTGGACCCAAATGACCTTGACCATTAACCCAGTGACCCTGATCTTTGGTCAGTTGACTTATTCTTTAACTCAGACCAACTTTACTTCTTAATATCATAACAAAATGTTCATCAGTGAAAAATACAAAACTTGACCTTGACCCTTTGGACCCCGTGACCTGGACCTTAGGTCAGTTGACTCTGTGTTAAGTTCTGAACAACATTATTTCATAATGTCATAAAAAAATGTTCATCAGGGAAAAGGTGCAATATTTAACCTTGACCTTTGACCCAGTGACCTTGACCTTTGGTCAGTCGACTCCTTGTTTAATTCTTATCAACTTTGCTTCATCATGTCATAACAAAATGTTCATCAGTGAAAAGATGCAAAATTTGACCTTGACCTTTGAATCTAATGACCTTGATCTTTGAGCTTGACTTTTTAACCTCAGTGTGTCTCTTTGTTTAATTCCGAACAACTTTGCTCCATAATGTCATAGCGAAATGTTCAGCAGTGAAAAGCTACAAAATTTGACCTTGACCCCTGACCCGATGACCTTGACCTTAGGTCAGTTGACTCCTTGTTTGATTCTGATCAACTTTGCTTCATAATGTCATAACAAAATGTTCATCAGTGAAAAGATGTAAAATTTGACCTTGACCTTTGAACCTAATGACCTTGACCTTTGACCTTGACTGTTTACCTCAATGTGTATTTTTTTTTAAATTGAACATCTTGACCAAGTTTCATGTACATCGGTCAACAGATACCAAAGTTATCAGCCAAGAACAAAATTTGTGGACGGACAGACAGACAGACAGACAGAGTAATTACTATAGGGCACCCGTATCTCCGATACGGGGCCCTAATAAACCATGAAAGTTTATTCAATACATAATAACTTCATTTAACCGACATTTGAACACTCTTGTGATGTAGTGTCGTTAATATATTGCCATACGGTAAAATGACGGCTACTGCTGATGAATATTTACAACGTTTTTGGGCCTACATACTTTTTCAGAGTATCCATAGATATTAGTTTGTTCTCGTTATCTATTTGTAATTAATCATATGTAGATACAATGTTTTTAGAAAATATATTTTTAGAAAATACATTGCGACAGTATACGATCAAGTAAATCAATTAAAAACTGTTACTATGCACATGGTTTTTTTTCATAACTCCATGTTAATATCACAAAATAACTATACTGTAATACGTTTATAAGGATATATAGGGCAAGCTTTCATTTGACTTGTGTAGGCATTCATGAACTGGAAAGTAATTTCTAAGCTGTATTTAATATCTATCGATCACAATATAACGGACGTCACTGAGGTTAACGAACCTTCTTCGTGTTCCCACTCGAGATCAAGAGAGGAACCCTCTGTGTGAGAACGATCTCTCGTCTGTGTTGTCCCTGAACTATTGGAGCTTTGGCCGTCGCCTGAACCTATTGAAAGACATATTTCATATTATAATGCTTCCTATGCAAAATACTTTCTTAAATGTACACACAGACACCATAATACAATTGCGCTTTGTGTATGTCTTCACCCTGTCATGGCGTTTACTTTTGTTTCCATGCTCAATATAACAAGAGTGAGTTTCAAATTTTCTTCTGCACTGGTGTTTTGGATTCAGCAATGCCGATAAAGCATTAAGTATAGGTTAGTTTGAAATATGGGACAGAGTGGTGCGTTTGAAAGCAAACACATATGATACATTTATTTAATACGGTTGCCTCTTGGATTAACCAATATTGTTTCTGGCCGCAAAACCTAACTGATTTGCTGTGGTAAAGTTTCATGCCGAAATGTGTTCTTAATGTTTAAAGATTTTTTAAAAAAAACAAGAAGCTTTGGAGACAAATAAAAAGCAAACAAACAAAAAGATCACGATTTAGAGAAAAAAAAATGAGAAAAAACAAAAGATGTGCGATTATGTATAATTAAGATCTAGATCATTGTTCATTTTCTTTTATCATTATCACAAAATTGATTTTTTGAAACTTTACCTTGTCGTAAATGTGCTGTTGCTTTATAAGATCTGGCCTTTACGCTAGCTAAAAACATTTCAAAATCATCTTCTCCCCCAGCACTGAAATAAACATAGTACATAGTTTTGTATATACACTTACAAAATATGTACTAAAAATAGTCAAAATCCTGGAGTACTTTTTTACTGAGAGACTGAAATTCACGAATAAACAACATATAATAAATAGTAAAGAAATATTAATAATATTTCCGCGATGTTTTTTTCACGAATAACCACGAAAGTACTCATCTGCCAAAATATGTTTTAAGTCTTATCATTCAGATGTCATTTTTTATTTCTCCTTTTAACGTCATTGCGTTCGAAATGTGTTCTATATAAATGATAAAATGTGAAAAGTTGCATCACTTATGGTTTTGTTGGCCTATATATTACGGCACATATATACTAAAAAAATCTTTCAAATCAGTATTATAATGTTTTCCTCTCCAAAACTATCAAGTAACATTTTTTTATTTTCATTCAAACAAATTTTAACAATTATTGGCGTTTAAACATACACTTCCCACTCCCCCTCGTCGTCTCCTAGCCAGGACTTTGATTTCCGGTTGGAGTTTTTATTCCGTGTTGCTGTTTCTTTAGCCCTTTGTAATTTAGCTGTTCTAGCTGCCTCCCTCTTCGCTTCGTAGAATTTTTCCTCTTCTAATCGGAGCTCTTCCTCTTGTTGTGCAAGCTTTTCATTGAATTGGTAAATTTGAATTTAACAACTTGAGTCGAAACATGCTTTCACAAAGACGCAATTACAATAGCTATGTTTAGAAACTACAATGCTAACAAAAACTGCATTTCAACTCTAAAAACAATGCTCGTCATTTTGACAATCCTGATTTGATTAAATCAAGCATAATACTTTATGAATAGAAAAGCATGTGTCATCTTGAATAGTTATTGCCTGTTATGTTACTTGATCGGCTGTTGTTAAGTTAAAGATATCTTTGACAATGTAACAACCATAAAAAAGTCGTATATACACCAACTCTGATTTAACAATAACCTTATAAGAAAAGATGCATGATCGCTTAACTGCAATATATTGATTATTGAAAGAATAAATATATATTTCATTCTTATATAAGATTAAAATCCAATTAACTTAAAATATAACTATTTTATCAATGATATGAATGAAAACAGAATGGCGCTAACATATAACAAAAGTATGCGAAGTTTCATTAAAATCGCTACAAGGATTAAACAGAATGAAAAGGTAGGCAGGCGAAATTGATTCTAAGTTACACTGAAGTGGCAACACTCTTCATAAATACTGAATATCTTGTCTATGACTACATAATAATATAGACCAATATGTTCTAGATCCCCCCGTTTTCACTGGTGATCCAGCCCTCTCTGCCCAAAGCGGGCCACACTCTTCATTATTACAACATTGAACATGGACAACGGACGGACTACAGACGCAAAGCAATAAAAGTAAACGTAATGTTTATAATATGTGTGCATATTGAGAAATTTTCGATGTTAATTAACCATATCCTGTACTAAAACACGGGGCACGAAAAGACACCGTAACACGCCGATCTTCTGAAGACGTTTACAATCAGAGTACGAACCCGTAACAAGCCGATTCTCTGAATACGTTTACAATCAGACTACGAACACGTAACAAGCCGATCTTCTGAAGACGTTTACAATCAGACTACGAACCAGTAACAAACTGATCTTCTGAAGACGTTTACAATCAGACTACGAACCCGTAACAAGCCGATTCTCTGAATACGTTTACAATCAGACTACGAACACGTAACAAGCCGATTCTCTGAATACGTTTACAATCAGACTACGAAC